GGGGAAGGACACCAAAGGGAAAAGGAGCAGGGCTTCCCCCCTCAGAAAAAGGGCCCAAGGTCTTTGTGACTTGCAGGGGAAGCCCGTGGTTGGCTTTCCCCGCTGCTGTTACATCTCTGGCCCTGTGGCACCTCCGCGGCTGCTACCGAGTGCGGAGCCTCCTGCCCCAGCTGAACCGTTTCGCATGCGATTACAACAGCAAAATATTTTTGCCTCCCAGCTTCTCGGAATTGCCTGCTATTAACATCAATCAGGCGTCTCCCTAGGACTAATTAGCGTATTTACTCTGCATTCATTCTGCTCCCCTTTCAACGGGTAATTGAATCTGTCTAGGCGGGGAAATGCGGGGCCCATCGTGCGGCCCCAGGGGCAGGCACGGGGCGTGAATGGCGGGGACACGCGCCCGGGGGAAAGGCTGCTGGTAGTGCTGTGCCCCTGGCTGGGCTGGGCTGGGCTGGGGCCTCGCTTGCCTTGCACGACAGGGGAAGGGGCCAGGCGGAGAGGCGGGCAGCAGGGCCCGGCCCGCCCGGACGCCTTCGCCAGAGGAGAAAAGGCGCGAAAACTCTCCTGTACCCCCGCGCGTGGAGCAGCCCCGGCCAGGGGCCGCGGGCGGGAGGGGGAGCCAGCCACGGCCTGGGCTGCTCTCCAGTCTGCTTCTCCACCGAGGTGAACCGGAGGTAGAGGCGGCCCTTCCTCCCCTCCTCCAGCTTTCCTGGGTGGGTCGCTGGGGCGGGAGGGGGAAGCAGAGCAGAGCTGAAGGAAATGCCCAGAGCAGACAGGAGGACAGGGGCGCTCAGCAGGTGCTGGCAGGCGGTGAGCGCGGGAGAGAGCCTGGAGACTAACCCCAGTATACACACCCAATGGATATGGATGCACGATATGTATGCATATAGTCACACAACACATACAGATTGTGTCTATATGCGCAGTGTAGGTGTGGGGTGTATATATCGTCCAACTAACCATATATACACCATTGATACGCATATTTACACAACATACGTATAGACAATATGTGTATATACACACACTATATGTGTGTGCATAGTGTATATAACCAAAGTAACCATATATACACAATATATATGTATATGTACGCAATATATGTATATGCAGTATATACAATATGTGTATACACACATATATATAGTGTGTTTAGAACTAAAGTAACCATATATACACTATATATGTATATATAATATGTATGTATATATGCACACTATGTGTGTGCATAGTGCATATGCCTGAAGTAACCATATATACACACACTATACATGTATATAACGTATATAACCAAAGTAACCATGTCCACACACACACACACACTATATACACATATGCACTATATATATTTTATATACACCCTATATGTATACACATACATACACACAATATGTATGTATATCTACACACAATTATATGATATTGAATCTATTGTATTCTGTAACTATATCCGAAGAAACATATCTACTCAGTCTATAAGATGCAAATCTACCCTACCTTCTATTTTAAATACTTCCCATTAAAGAGTAATGCAGTCTCTGCTTTGGTTTGGCGTCAAACATCCAGGTTGTGAAACGAAAGTGCTGGCGCGTGGATCTAACTCGGACTGAACACGGATGCTTTCTTTCCCTCGTCTTACTCCGCGCAGCAATAAAACGCCTAGAATCTGATTCGGACACGTTGAATTGGTATGTGGGGGGAGGGGGGGGTTGATTTCCGCTTCAGCGGGCAGATGAATGTAAATCATCTGGGTGCATTTAGGTTAAGGAAGCCGTTCAAACCCGTATCCTGCCCATAAAGAAAAGTGGCCTCGAATCCGTCGTCTTGTTATTTTGGAGGGGAGAGGGGGGGTCGAGCCCACACATTAATGCATAAGATTACAAAAAAATGCCTGTTTGTATTAGTTTTCATCAGTTAATCTCATTTTGCTATAATTCTGTAATTATTTAAATGGCATCTTCCCAGTGGTCCAGATCTAAAGGTTAGTTTTCAAGAGTCTATTAACTGTTTCCTGTTTTATAAGGGAATTTGCTTTCTCGCTTTTCTACTCGCTTGAACAGTTTGAAAGCAGCTGAAAAGGGAGAAAGAGGCAGCTAGAGCAGGGCCTGAATCCTAGAGGGAAAATCCCAGACTAGCCAGACCACCTCAGATGCCATTGAACTAAATGGCCTTTTGGGCTGAGATCATGTACATTTCTTTCAAATGTGGACGTGGACGGAAATGTGTTAAATTCTGGGGCCTGCAATCCTCCGTTTGAATTGACTCATAGGTAAATGTACCGCGATTTCAAACACCCTATTCCTGAGGGGATGAAGCTCAGGAAAAAGAAACGTCATGTATTTAAAACTACCATGGGTGCCATATAGCGTGTGAATGTTGTAGGGCTGGAAACATTAGACCCTTATTCTTTGCCTACCTAAACTGGGGCGAGTTTTGGAAGGTCGAAATTGTGGTCCTCGGTACCAAAACTCTGCTACTTTAAAGCAACAGTAGGAAGGTTACTTCTGGTACCTAGCCAGTACGAAATAAATACACCATCGATTTCAGATCCTTTAAAATATTTTTCTTTGTATTAACAGCTGCTTCATTTGTCCAGGTGGCATCACAGCTCCGCATCCTAATTCATAAACCAATAAATGTATCCAAGAACTTGGAGAGGATGCTGGATAAGAAACAGCCCTGCCCTACCAGGGAGATGGAGACGATCTAATAGTGTCTGATTCCTATGGCACTGTATATAGTTAGGCGGCGTGCACTGCCCATTAGGACTAGCTGTACACGGTTTTGTCTCCGTATGTTTAGAAGCCTGTTGGTGAAATGAGCTCTTTTATTTTTCCCAAGCCTTTCTTAAAATGCCTCCTGTTTATGGTGACTAAATTAAAAAGCAAACTGTGGCCCAGAACCTGCTTTTAAACTTTCCCTTGTTGTCTAATTTCCAGCGTACTCTCCTCTGCGTAGAAATTCATCTGAACTCAGCACATCTGTGCGGTTTAGACAGCAGGAGGCTCGCTCTCCGTGTCCCCTGCATGAAGCTCAGGAAGGGAAGTCAAAGATCGCAATAGAATGGAGGCGTGTTTTTTATTATTATTATTATTATTATTATTATTATTATTTATATATTGGCAACCCCTTTTCTGCCTGATTAAATGATGACAAGGGTTCAGAGGAGAATGTGGTCCTTTCCTGTTGCTCGGGCTTCAGGTATTTCTCAGCAGGGTTAATACAGTCTCCTCTGTAAACTCCGCTCCGAGGAGTTGTATGCTGAGGATTTACAGTGGTACGGTAATCTCATGGCAGTGCATTCACTTTGTTTATTAAACAAAATAATCCACTCCTCTCCTGGACAAATGAGCTTCATTGGGACACTATAACAGCCTTGCTTAGCCCATGACATCGGGCTCCTGATTGATTTGAAGACCTACATACTAATTTTCCCGCTGCAGAAGAAGTATTGAATTTCCCCGTATATCAGGCAATTCGAGCACTGGCAGGAACCCCCAAGAACAGCACTGAGTTTTTAATTTTTAATCAAACCAAACTAGTTGTAAATGTCTTTAAAACAACCCGATTTTCCCAGGGCATCGGTAAGCGGCTCTGAGACTCGCTAGGAAGTATGAGAAAAAGATTATAAATGTGAATAATCTTGTAAAACATGGGTCTAGCGGCTCGGATTACGCTGAAGACTAATATGGTTGTTCTTTAGGTGCTGCTTGTTTTTATAGCTCGGACGTTGTCTATTGAAAACTACAACAGAGGAGCCAATATCCTGATTTCTCTAATCAGAGTCCCTGGAGCTTGTATCAAAGCTGTGAAAGACGAAGCGCGGTGGGTTTTTAACACGCGAGGCAGCTGCCGGGGTGAGTCAGAAATTGGTGGAAGATTGGGGGAGGAGATCAGATGCAGTTTTCTGAGCTGGATGTCCATGATTTGCCCCTTTGCAAGACTATATCCAGCGGAATCTCTTTTTTTCTCCCCAACCAAAGGTGTAATACAAGGCACTTTCTGTCCTTTCTATTGACAAATAACTCGCAGGATACCTAGCAATACCAGTCCAGTTGTTACCCAGATGTCTTAACTATCCTCCAAGAGACTTCAGCGCCGTCCTGCGACGCTGCCTTCATTCAAATGGCAACCAGGAGGCAGATGTCACTATTTTTTTTAACACTTTCACACTTGATCATAGCAACAGTCGAGGTAAAATGTTCAAACCCAGCGTTGCCTTCCCCCCTCTCCCCTCCTCCTAGCAACGACCCCTTTTCCATGAGTTCCGACTTTTAAATCCGCTCCTACACGAGGTGGATTGCGCTCGTGTTTGTTTAGCAAAGAGTTGCTTCAGTGAAGAAGAACATCAGGAAGGAAATGTGAGGCTATGTAGCTCTCGAAGGCAAGTCTGGACACCTCAAGGAGTTCCTGAATCCCCCTCCCCCCCCCAAACGAACAGAGCGAAAGTGTGCAAGTAAAGGGAGCGACGAGCTGAAAACAGCTACAAAGGCTGAGCTTGGGGTTAAATAATAATAATAATAATAATGATGAAGCTCTTCCTTTATGTCTAGAAAGGCTCTTTTGCAAACACTTTTCGTTCTTTGAAAACCGGGAACTATTTTGCATCGACCACAAGTGGCGGGGCGAGATTTACTTGGAAGGCAGCGAGCGTTTTCTTCCTGCCCTTCTGGTCACTGCGGTTTGTTTTCAGATGGCCAAATGATTGAGTTTCCACCTGCCTGGTGGCTTAAGCGAGCTAAACTCCTTCTAGTCTCCACCACCCACCCCCTTCAAAAAAAACCCAAAACCCAACAACAACAAAATGCTGGGAGAAACTGCTGTCTAAAGCACACGGATGTGCTGCGTTCAGATTAATTTCTCCGCAGAGGAGAACACTGGAAACTAGAAGATCCCCTGACTCCTCTTCCCCCAGGAAAAGGTGAGGGCTGGAAATTTGGAGGATCCCCCGACTCCTCTCCCCACATCCCCAGTTACCTCTAGCTCTGCATTCAGTTTTCAACACGGCCCCCCCCGATGAGTTTTGAAGGCGGAGGAAGGAGACCTTTTAAAATCCCCCTCTTCCCTCTGCTCCGCCCCCCCGCCCGGTGTTGTTTCCAACCTGGACAGTCCTGACCTCTGCTGAATCCCGCGTTTGTGCTGCTACTGCCCTCGTTGCCCGCCCCGCCCCGAAAGCGTCATAAACAGGGGAGAAAGCAGCCGGCTGCGGTACCTCCGCTCTTCGGAGGCTGCTGTCCCTTGTGTTGCCAAGGGTAGCACTGACCGGCACCAACTCAGGACGCCTTGCCCCGGGGGCTGCCTTCCCGCCCCCCGTTGCAAGCCAGGAGGAAGCAGAGCAAAAGCTTCCAGGCAGACAACCCTCTTCCCCCCGGTCCAGCCCCGCGCCCCGCAGGAGCGATCCCCTCCAGGCCCCGCGGGGGCCCCGCGCCCGGGCTCCAGCAGCCCCGGGACCCGCGAGGTCAGAGGGCCGGCGCTGCAGCGCCGAGCCTCTCACAAGGGTAAAAGGGGGTGTGGCCGGAGCGCGGTGGCGTCACTCTGCCTCTGGGCCAGTGAGAGGCCGACCTTGGGGAGCCAGGGACCAATGGGAGGCGAGGTGGGTCTGTGAGTGGCATTAAGGGAGGGCTAGGCTGAGGCTGGGAGAGAAATGAAGTTGTGCTAAAAAAGCCTTTTAGCCATAAAGAAGTTATTAGGCATTTCTCAGCCTCAAATTAGGGCTACTTCATTAATATCAGCTTCGTCCTCATTATGGGAGAGGGAGAGTCTGCAAGCACATAAAGGGGATAGGAAGGAGGCAATATCTGTCTACCCAGCTCGGGGAGAAGCAAACTTTCCCTCTGCTCTTAATTATCTCAATTAAAGAGCTGGGCTACTCACCCTGGGAAAGCTCTCTGCAGACTGCTGGGTGCGGGATTGAAGGTAGGTCAAAGGAGATCACTTGCATCCGGTGATCCCTTCTCCGAGACGAGGAACAATGTTACCTGTGCAAGAGAAATGCGAAGCGGGTCTCTCTAGTCTTGTTTCCCTTGCCCGTGATGTCACTTCAGTTTGGGCTGGTTCTATTTGTGCATCAGGTCAAGCTGGATTCTCTTTTTCCTTGTTTCATGTGGTCTCGGGCAGAATGAGACCTCCATTCCTAGGCGGGAAGGGGAAGTAGCATGTGTCCAAATCACCTGAAATGTTAACCCGGATGGACAGGTCAGAGGAAGGCTTTAGAAATTAAACTAAAGCTTCCACCGCAGGGAGTTGCGAGACCACTCGGGGAGAGTACAAATGTGTGAGGATCTGAGCGGTGCGCACTTGATTCCGTTCTGGGTATACTAAGGACGACCTGTCCTGGTGACATTTAAAGACGAGACACGCTAGTATTTTTTTTCCTGAAGTGTCGATTTCCTTTAAAAAAAAGAAACTTTTAAAAATGTAATTTTTGCCTGTCATTGAATGCACGTGCGTGCAGATGAAATGTTCTGGGGAGGAGGGACAAGGGAGGGTGTCTGATCATTTCTTCTGCTTCTCCTTCTGCCCCGCTCCCCACCCGAGACGAACCCAGTGTCCCGGTGGCGAAAATTCGCCTTATTCGGGACTCTTCTGTCCATTGGCATGTAGTGAGGATCTCATAGATCTGGTTGTGTATGTGTAGCATTGTATAGGAGGTGTCTCACCCCAAGGCATGCTGTTGTCTTCACAGTGGCACGAAGAAAGTTACCTGAGCCAGATCCCTGCTGAAGGAGCCTAAAAACCAATGACTTCAGGCCCCGGATGGACAGCAGAAGACTAAAATAAAAGGAATTATTATGTCTCTTTCCCGAGGAGCTATGTTTACAGCAATGAGCAGAAGGAAAGGACTGACCTCCCTCCTTGGGGCGCGGGCTGGTGCGGGAGGCATTTAGTTTTCTCTGCAGCCCCTTGGATTGTCCGAGCTGCATCGAAAAAGCACCTTTCCGAAGCCGCTTGCATTCAGCTAACGTCAATCTTAAAGTGAATCTATTATATATATCTATATACACACGCGGACACACATATATATGTGTATTTTTCAACGTAACTCCTGGCCTTTAATTGTTTTTAAACAAAACAAGCAAACCAGCCGCGCTCAGCAAGGATGCTTGAGGCTTCTGCAAGATGAATTGTCGCTGAAAGTTTCTGCCCCCGCTTTGGATGAAGCTGTGGAGTTTAAATTGTAAGAAGGAAGGGGGAAAAAACCACAATGAAAGAGAAATCCAAAAATGCTGCCCGGACTAGACGGGAGAAAGAAAACAGTGAATTTTATGAACTGGCTAAATTACTGCCTTTGCCCTCGGCCATCACCTCTCAGCTGGACAAAGCATCCATAATCCGGCTCACCACCAGCTATTTAAAAATGAGGGTGGTTTTTCCTGAAGGTAAGTGACTTTACGGGGAATGAACTGCCCGCCTGCATGCACCTCGCGGGCCGGGGTCGTCCCTGAAGGACGGCGCTGGGGTTGCGCCTTTTCCTGCCCCTAGACACTTTCCCTTCCCTTCCGTACGCACGACACGTTTGGATGGGGTCCGGCGGGGCTTTTGTCAACACTTCAAGATACTGAGCTCAGCTGCGTTTTCTCCTAAAACAAACATGACTTCCCTTCCCACCCTGAGCGATCGGCTTTCCCGCGGAGCACGTATAGCACCCCAAAGGGCAAATCACACATATACTGGGGGTGGTGGTGGGGGAGTTAATATATGGGTAAATATATATGGGTAAATATTTACTTTAGTCTATGCAAAGTCCTAAAGTCTTAGTTCAAGTCTGGAGTGGTGGGTACAATACTTAGGGCGCCTAAAGTCTTAGTTCAAGTCTGGAGTGGTGGGGACAATACTTAGGGAGAACAGCACCAGCTAAAGAAAGCGACCCAGCAAGACTTGCTTGTGCTGGGAAGGAGCCGGATCTTGGGGAGAGCAGCACTGGGGCGGTATGGAGAGGGTAACGGATGTCAGGGCTATTAATAGAAGTTCCAGGTTGAGAAAACTTTAAACTTCCCAGTAGCACTACGATAGTTTCGGGCCTTCCCCTATTCCTGCATAAGTCAATGGGCCACTTCACCTTGACTTAGCGAGTGTCCAACTTTGTCTGCTGCAACCAGCGCTGGGGATTATTGAGGCTTGGCGCGGTCTAGAGTTTTCACATGAATGTGTAGACTCGCTGCCAAACAAAACAAACCCGAGGAAAAGTTAAGGACTGTACAAAGTTCCCTCCTAGCCTGAAACTTTTGCTTTTAATGTGGAAGAGGAGGAAGAAAATAACGGGCAATGGTTTTTATGTGGATACGGGAACGGATCATAGTGCAGGTAGAAGAGAGCAGTTACGAAGTGGGGAATTCTTCACTTCGAGCTAAAAACAAATAATGTAACCACAAACATCGCTTCAAAAGAGATCAGATCTCGTGTTTTACAAGCGAAGGCCAGCTCTGTGACTGAGAGGGTGCTTTTGTCCGGAACAAGTAGGGCAACATGGTAGTACCTGCGTTTAAAAGTGGATCGAAACTCAAGCCTTTAAGAAAATAATATTGTATTTCCACTTTTGAATAGATCATAGACATTCAGGCCACTTATAATGATTTGGACCAGGGAAGAGTTGGAAAGGTATCGTTCCCCCTTGCCTTCCCTTGCCAGCTTTTGCAAAGAAAACCCATTTCCAAACTAATTTCCTTGACCAACATTAGCCATCTCATGACTTGAAACCAAGCGCGGAGATGACCCAAAAGCCTTTCCTGAAAAGGAAAAGAAAAATAAATCAAACAGCGCATTCCTAGCGTGTCTGTGCCGGGAAGATCATTACGGGAGGCTGCCTAGTGTTTAAAAAGAGATCGAGTTGTCCTTTATACTGTCAAGGCGTACTTTATAAAAATAAAGCTATTGCAAACTCTTGAGGGCCGCGGTGTTCCTAAAAGGATTATTAACAATGATTTGTCAACTCCTGCAGTCTCAGTAGGCTCCCGTCCTGCGTGATTTCGAGCGGGTCTCGTCAATTATTGGTGCCTATGCAGCGGGTTGTTGGATCAGAAGAAGCATATGGTGTTGCTTGTCGGCTCTGAGTAATCATGGGAAGAGAAGAATAGCTGATCCCAGTCCCTCCGTGGCAAAGCGGAATGTTTGAATGCACTGGGGAATTGCGTGGCAAAGTGCACCGGAGCCGGAGCCGCTGCTGTCCAAAGCATATGCTAATTTGAGAAAAGAGACAGAGGAGGAGGCTAAACAGCGCGCAAAGCGGCAGAGCCCGCCGAGCCTAATTAAAGGCGAGCTGCAAATGAAGAAGGCAGGCAGGCACAAAGAGTCTGGCTCAAAAGAAGCGGGGGGGTGGAAATCCCCTGGACGCGCATGTGTGGCGTCCGCTCTTGTAGCCAGGAGAAGATCAGAGAGTCCTGGGGACCTTAGGGTTAGGAGGGACCTCATTTAGTCCTGCTCCCCCTGTATTTCCCTCTGGTTCTGTTTGCGTGTGAGAGAAGAGGGTGCAGGACAGACCCCGAGCAATCAGAACTCTTGGTAGACGGGATATCTTTTTATTCGACCAACTAGATAGTTGCAAAAAAAAAAAAGTCTTTATTTGCAAGCTTTCGGGCACACGCGCCCATCTTCAGGCATAGGAGAGTGCAAAGATCGCAACATCTCTCGCCGAGCCACCCAAACAGAAGCATGCCTTGCTCAGGAGGGGCTATTTGGCTGCACTGAGCTGCTCGGGAAGTAGTCTCCCTCCTCCGTAGTTCAGAAGAGCTCTGGGTGTGTGAGTAAGAAGCACGAATCCCAGCCACTGGCACTCAACCCGCCATACCTGTGGGGATGAGCTGGACGCGTCTGTGTCCAGATCAACAGGGAGGATAGTTTATCACCTTTCTTGAAGAGGGGAGCAGGGGCTCCAGGCGCATCCTGGATTTCCCGGGGGATCTCGGGCCTGAGCAAAGCAAAGCTGTAACTTTACAGTTACCTCGCGGTAACTGGGGCTGCAGGCAGTGGCCCACCCCAGGATGTGCTTAGCCCATACAAGTTTTGTCTATAGCATTTTCTGAGGTGGGGGCCTGTGTCTCCAGTCCAGGTCTCGCCTACTTATTAGCTTGTGGGGCAGCAGCTAGAGGGGGTCAAGGAAACTACATCGCGGAGCTGGGAGGGAAAATTGAAGAACGGAGCAGGGAGAAATCGTTGACTATATTTATCTGTGGGAATCTTCCTGCTATTTCTTAACCCATGTGGAAGAAATTGATATGAAGCACTAGGAGAGACATTAGGACTAGGACATTAGCACTAGGAGAGACGTAGAGTGGAGATAAACAGGCTAAGGAAGATGGCGAAATAACACGTCATCACAGGACATCCTACGTCACCGATCTACTAGTTTCTAAATCTCTTATTGGAATAACTATGCCTAAGGGGTATCTACTTAATAACAGCTACAGTGCAACCCTTACAACTGTATCCTTATTAATCTAATGAATTCACATCTATTTAGACTGATTATAAATGGTTACACCTAGGAAGATATAGACTCCATACGCAGGTAGAGAATTGTGAATAGACAGAAATAGCATGCGGACATCTTTCCCACATAATCATTTGTAATCATTATGTAGCCAGATTTTGGATTATTTTTAGGGTTTGTTTGTTTTTTTGGCGTAAAATAGATACACGCAAAGCAATCACGGTGCCGTGTCTTATGATTCCTTCCAATATCAATCCGAAGATGTTGTTTATTGAATGCAGCTAATGAACGTCCTAATGCTAGAGGGAAAGCTACCATGATATCACATTAAGCAAACGCTTTAAATGAATATGACCATGATGCTCCCTCCTGAGTTTGTGTTTAGGATACGGTTTAACTCTTAAATTAATTCTCTGGGAAAAGCCGGTTTACAACACTTGGACGTTTCCCGTTTCTAGTTTACTGGTCTAGATTTAACCTAGGAAGGGAGGAAATTGTGCTACCTAAAACACAAACAGGAAAATCAGCGGCTTGGGCAATTCGCTTCGGTTTGGTACAAAAAGAGAGTTAAACTTCCGTGGAGAGAAGAATCTGCAAGACAAACAGGGGTGTGCAGTGGCCCTCTCGCTCTGGGAAATGACCAAAAGCCATCCCGGTGCCGGCGGGCTGCAGGCGAGCTGCAGTAGCCTTTCAAAAACTCGAGGATAAGATGTAGTCCTAACACTGCGGTGTAATATTAAATAGCCTCCTACAGCATCAAGGGTAAAGCACGTACAGCGAACCTCTGGCATTGTTTTCTTTCCCACATAAATGTACATGGGAAAACTACATATAGATCTGTAGTCTTGCAGATCTATATAGCAAGGTCGTGGTCTTTATTATTATTACAGTTATAATTATTACTACAACTAAGAGGACACGCCTGATCCAAGCGAGCCACAGCACTGAATGAATATATTTTTGGTGTAATATATTTTGATAAGAAAACGCTTCTCTGCGAAGAAATAATTTAGAAAAACGATCACAGAAAATCGCTATACATCGGTAGGTAGTTTCTCTAAACAGAACGGCGTTTAATTACAAAGAGTCTAGCAAAGTCTCTGTTTAAATAAACCTTTGTAGAATAATAATGGTTAGTATTTCAATATTGAAATCCTTAATCTTGTTTTATTTTAGGGGGATAAAAGACTAACAGAAGAAAAAAAAAAAACCCCTTTCCCACGTGGATAGGTGATTTAATGCTGTTTTTCTTACTGCTGAGGGAAATGATTGAGCATTAGGTTTCAATGTTTATTTTCTTACAGAAGTTTTTCTCATTTAAAAGCCTTTAAGCTGCAGTTTACTCTCCACGCTGCCTTTCTGTGCTTAATACCAGTTTTGATGTCGACTTAAAATGTGAAGTGCAGGACTGAACTCTCGCATAACAGTTGCAAGAGCAGATTTATGAGTTAGAAAGCATACGGAAGATCAATGGATGAAATCATATTTTCTTTAGAAACATCCCCTTCCCTGGCTAATAAAAATAACTTTTTTTTTTTAAACTGGCGGATGCTTTTCGACCTTCGCATGCATACCGTGTGAAATAGTGAACTCCTGCAATCATTTTCAACTTAGGTTACTTGTAAAGAAAATTACTTTGATTTGTATCCTTCCTTCTATAGCGATCTGGGTGTATTTTGAACATGTTGGCTCCTTTTGGGGGTTGACAGAGGGACGTTTGCTTACAGTTTAAAGTATTTACATTTCTGTGCGCGCCAGAAATAAAAAACGCTGGAATTTCATGGTATTTCATTCTCAAGTGCACCAGTATTGGCGTTTTCTTCCATTCAATTCCACTAAAGTGGTGCTTATTCAGGCAACATTTTTCATTTAAATAAACAGGAACGTTTCTTAGCTAATCTTGTTGCAAATGAACGCATGTGATTTACCGTAGACCTTTTAAAAAAACCCATA